CCCTAGATCATTTTTCATCTATGTAAGAGAGATTAATTAGGACCTATGTTCAAAAAAGAAGAGCCACAATTCATACAGTGACTTAGTATATACACAAGTGTGTATCACTGGGGATTCCCCATATTTGTATTTATCTAACTACAGCTTCTTATGTTGCATCAGAAGTGGCTCCCAAAGGTCCTGTGCGTTTCAGAAGCAACATGTCAGTTGGGACGCAGGACTCATATCTCCACTGAGGTCTAATATATTTTACTGAATATGATCCTTCCTATGTGTCCCTTACTAGAGATGAGGGAAAATACCACCCTCTTAAATAGGGATTACCTGACAAGAATTTAATAAGCCCTCATGGTGAAATATGGGCAGCTGGCTCACCCTTTTCAAAGCTGAATGAAAATTATTCTAGTCCTATACACCAGAGAACAAGACAAGTGTGACCAATGTTAAGGTGGTGGATATACTAATAGGAATCCTGAAAACAAGTACCACATACTTCATATGCAAAGCTTTAGTAGCAACATTTATCCATAAATTATTTCCAGTGACCTTGGATAGTCACTGTAGCTGAAGGGAGATACTCCCTTTGTTGCTGAGAAATGGGTAAAAAAACAGGCAATCATCAAACTTTGATGGAAACCTGGATGAAACTGATGAACTAACATCCACACATAGCTTGGTTAGTTACTACACGCTAGATTTCCTGTTCTGTCTAAAACCAGAAACTGTTACACCATGAAGGATTCATTCACATTTCTTTGCCAATGTACTTTCAAGTATCTCTGACCAATGGAACAAGTTAGTTGTGGCCAATACGTTCCACCACTTTTAATGGGACTTAAGTCACAATTAAGTTTCGTTAGACTGGCACTGTTTTACTTAATAAATAGAAAAATTGGCTCTGAGGTCTCCTTAGCCTGTGCCATTAAAAGAGACTGCCTACCCACTCCGTTACCATGGTTCTTTTTGTCAGATAAGATTAGCTGGTTGGAGGGAAAATGGCCTAGACCATTAAAGAAGCTAGTGAACCATGATTTGTACCCCAGGTTTCGTTCTAGTGGTGGCCATGATGCCCTTGTCAAATCTCAAGGATTATTACTTGCAAGGACTCCAGGCAAGGTTTAGTCATCACAAGACCTTCCCTTGATTTTTGACAGGTACACTTTTCAATCTCATGAACAGTGTTTTTTGAAATATTACCAGGCTGCCGATCAAATGTTCTTAAAGCAAGACATCCTCTTCAAGAGAAAGGCTATTTTGACCCACTGCACAATGTAGCCTTTTTTTGAGAAAACCTTACCTTATTGTGTTTTTGCTGGTACCTTGTTCTAGTATCCAGTATATGATAAGGGCTTTCAGAGTCTCTGTTAAGATAATAGACAAGTCTTGAAGGCAATATGATTTCTTTCTGGAATGCACTGTTGTGACTGTTATTTTTACTGCTACTACTGTTAGACTGTTGAAATGCAGTGTCTTCATCTGCCAGTGTTCCTTCTACATTTCCTGCAGTTTCATTCCAATGCAGAGCTAGGGAAGACAGAAAACTTGCCATAAATTCCCAAAGCAACTAGACAGGTTTTTTTTAACATAATGCTTTACATTCTACTAACTAAATCAAGGCAAAAATGAAAATCCATATTTGGCCAAAGGTGAACACAACCCTTTTACACTGTGCATTATTTAATTTTATACATTATTTAATTTTATAAAGTTTTATTTCACCAGATTTCAAATATGCAAGGAAAACTCAAGGCTGCAAAGAGCAAAAAACCACCCACCACCCTTCTTAATGGCCATCCAACTATCCATTACCCTCTTTCAGTCAGGTTCCCACATAAATATTAGCCATGTATAAATCTATCAATGTACTGCAAACCTTCCTTCTGCTCCTAAGGCATACTGCAGCCATGTGTACTGAATTTTAATCAATTCTCTTTATATAATGGCCTTTTTTCTCTAGTCCTATAACTTTAAGACCGCATTCCAACACACATTTACTAGAAGAATACCCCATTGCACTCTATTATGCTTTCTTCTGAATACAGGCATATTTCTTTCTGTAGCAGGGGTGGGGGAGAGAGACTACTGTTCTCTGCACTGGTCACAATTCCTTTCTATATGTAAAAAGTACACTCCACGACCCAGATAGCAGAACAAGAGGAACAACACCAGAAGTGCCTGCCCCTGCCCCCCTCCCATCAAAAGCCACCCCTGGTTATTTGGCTTTGCCACACCGCAAAAAAAACAGCAACCTTGAAAAGCTGCCAACAACAGCGTCTGCTGCAGAGAAGCCTTCTGAAAGGACTTCTTTGCCCTCGCAGATATATAAAAAGACAGTGCGAGTCTATTCTGTCAAAAACACACAAACACATGCAATAATTCCATCTCCATCAGACACACATGAGAAGGGCGGAGAGTCAGCAGAGAAGCGGAGGTACTCAGAGGCGCACTCAAGATCAATTATCGCCACGGAGCAACCAAACAAGAAAGGGCCGTCAATATAGAAATTGCGTCAAGAGCGGAAAGGAAAAAACCTTAACGCGTGGAGAGAAAAGCGTCCTTGGAGGAACTTTGGCACTTATATTATTATAGTGCGGCCGGAAAAGGGGGGGGGGAGATCCAACACAGGCTTCCTTAGTCCCTGATTATGATAGCATTCTGAAAAATGTAAAAGACTGGCGTGGGGGGGTGGGGGACGCAGAAAGCAAACACAAGGGGGTAAAAATCAGGAGCAGAGAGTTGGGGCAGAACAAATTTTGGAGTCCAAGGGGGCCACCTTTGAGACCAACAAAGGTTTTTCAAGGTAGGAGCTTTCGTGTGCAGGAACACTTCTGCAGATACAGTGAAATTGAAATAACAGTCATATATCTATCTATCTATCTATAGATAGATATAAAGATAGGTATAGATAGATATAGATAAGAAGGTAGATATATAGATATAGATCGGGTGGGCAGTAAACTACTATGCAGAATAATAAAGGTGTTTTTAAGAGATTAAAAGAATAACCAGCTTAGTTCATACTGGTCAGCAGAAGGCACTGAGGCGGGAAGGGGGGACGGAGAGGGAGCCCCCCATCCACCGCAGCCCCCCCCCCCGAGGACTCACCGGTGGCCGCGATGACCCCCCAGCTCTGCGGGCAGCCGGGGCAGAGGAGCAGGAGGGCCCAGCAGAAGAGGCGGACGAAGCTGGGCAGGGGCAGCCGCACCAGGCGAGACGAGGAGGCGGCGGCGGCGAGGAGGCTGCAGCGGCGGCCGGCGCAGGGCTGCCGCAGAGAAGTTCTGCCGGGCGGCTTCATGGCTCATCGCTTCCCCCGGGGGTGGGCGCGGGGTGGGCGCGGAGAGTGGGGGGACACACACACTCAGAGGCGCCCCCCGCCCCGCCCCGCCAGGGCCGCGGACGGGGGAGAAGGAACGAGGAGAGGACGAGGAAGGGATGCCCTTCCCCGCTTCCCTCTTAAGGCGAGGGCTCAGAGGAGCTGAGGCGGGAGCGGCGGCGCTGCTTCTTCCCTCATGTTGCGGCGAGGTATGGAGAAGGGGGGAGAGGAGGAGCCCGGCTGGCCTCTGCTGCCGTTACGGTGGCGGCGGCGTCTACCTACCTGCCCACTCACTCACTCACTCGGCCGTTAACGGCCGCTATTCTCCACAGCCGAGGGTGGGGGAAGCAGGCGCGCGCATGCGCGCACTCCCTTCCGTCCACGCGCCTCGGCTCCTGCCTTCGCTTCGCTTGCGCCTGTCTTCCTCGCGCCCCGTCTGTCTCCCCGCCGGCGTCCTCGCAGTGCCGTTCACCTTTCAAGGCCGCGCGTGATGCGCAGGGCGTGACGTCGAGGGTTGCGCCACTTACCGCTCTCTATCCCCCCCCCAATTCGAAAGAGAGACCGGAGTTGGGTGTGCGCGCGCCTTG